CCAGAGATTTTAAATCAAAGATTCAAATCTGGAGCGTTTGAGGGAAAGCAGTATTTAGATAGATGAGAACTTGCATGCAGGCTTTTTTTTTTTTTTTAATCAATCAGGAGTCAAAAGACTATTGAGTCTTTATACCTTCCTTGCAATCAAATAGGCAATCAAATGACTTCAACTGAAGCATGACTTACACAGACTTGTCAGTTGACGTGGAACTATTATTAGTCACAATACACATGTAGACAATATCATTCTGCACTAATGGATTATTGTCTTTCTTAAAATTTTATCTGAAAACACATTTGCCTTAGTTAACTTGGATTACTCTAGTTTCAATTAAAAAAATTAATTATGTGATTTAAGCTCTAGAGGGCTATTTAACCAAGATGAAAAAAAAATTGTTTTACTTTTAAATGCTGTCTGTTACTTAAACTCCAGCATATGTTTATATTGCTTATTTTTTTGACTTAAATCTAAGTTTATTTATCTTTAAAGAGATATATTGCATAGCTCTTCCATTAAAAATATAGAGCAAAAGATTTATGATAATGTATCAAAAAGCAAGATACATTTTAGATGCTGAAATAATATAAAGGATAATAATCTACAACTCCATAAATTTTCTTTCAGATTAATAATCTTCAACTATTATTTTAAAGTAGCATTCTGTTTTTATATTTAAGCATTTTAGTACTTAAAGAATAATTTAAAATATTAAAACATTGGAACTAAGTTAAAAACAACTGACAAATATCTTTGTGCTGGGGATTGAAGCCAGGTTCTCTACACATGATAAGTAAATGCTCATATTTGAATGGTGATTTTAAAAATTTGTAGTAATAATATCTTTTATGATAATAATATCTTTTATCTCATTTACATGATAGAAAAACTTAAGCTATTTTGTTTCTACATGAACAAAACACAAATATGCTTGGGTATATCATTGTACATTTGAAAAATTCCTTTATCATTTGTGACATTGTTGATTTAAAGTGTCATTTGTTAGGTAGGTTTTCATTCATAATTTTATAATTGAACTACTTGCTTATGGTCTTATTAATCTTATTCAAGTTCAGATATTTCTGCAATTTACATCGAAATAGTGACTATATTGTGAGAGATTCACTAATATCAAACTAAGTTAACTAATTCAATCGATTAAAAAGACAACTAAATTGTTACCATGCATTCCATAAACATTCAGACTTTTAGAGGTCTTCCATGGTAATCTGGCATTTGACAGTAAGTTTCTATGAGCTGATGGTACTAATGGCCTGCCCCCACTTTAGTTTTCATGTTGCAAGTCCCAGTGGCTCTCCTTATAAAGGGAAACCATGTGATAACTTTCAACTCTTTGACTTCAACTAAATGTCAATAAACTGACAATTACAAACATTTTACGGACAGGGTAGTTAGACTTATAAAATGAGTCAATTTGTAGGGAAACAAACATATTATCACTTATGATTTGGGTAGTACTAACACCTGGGTCAGGCAGGAGAACATAATTAAGGCAATTGTTTTAAGTTGATAATAGAAACAGAAACAAAGTCATGTTTAGAAGCCTTGAGATTGTTCTTCCAGTCAAGGACATTATCTTTTTTTTTTTTTTTTAAATCAGACACAATGAATAAATAAATAAAAAGTGATGTGTAAAGAGTGGGAACACATAGGGGAAACAAAAAAAGGTTAAGTGTGCAATTTAAAAAAAAGTCCCTCTACCAGAAGAGACCTGGAACACAGTTCTAAGACACTGTGCTCTACAGTGTCTGGAAAAATGAGTCAGATGTACTTTGCTAAAAAACATATACAGGAGATATGGTTGAAATGAAAATTTCTCAAGGTTCCTTATGAGAGAAAAATACTTGCTAAAGTCATTTCACTCTCATAAAGATAATGGATTTTTTCCTATGATACAGTCTTTTGGCACACAATTTTCTATTCTCAAATTGGATTTGTTATACTATTACATTTTAAAGCAATGCTGCTTATTAGAAATATAATGAGAGACTTGTAATTTAAAAATTTCTAGTAGCCATTTTTTAAAAAGTGAAAAACCCAAGTGAAATTAATAATATATTTTTTGACCCAATATGACCAAAAAATACTATCATTTTAACATGTGGCCAATATGAAAATTATTAAAGCAGTAGTTTGCACACATTTTTTTGAATCAGGTCTTCAAAATCTGTCCATTCTATTCTTATAGCATATCTCAATTTTGAGAAGCTGGAAGTGCCCAGTGCCTATGTGTGACTAGCAGCTAAGGTATTGGACAGTACAGATCTAAAGAGGCTTTTCCCACAAAGACTGGGTGATTCTGGCTTTCCTCTACAAAACTTTCATCGATGCACACTTGTTTACATACTGTTAGTGTCAATCCAGGACAGCATGACCTTGAGCTTGTTTGTTAATTCAGAATTAATAATGACATTAAGCAAAAAAGGGCAAATCTCAAGGAGTCAGCACTTTCTAAGTTCTGATCATCTGGCCAACTCTACTTTTCTCTTCAGTTTGTTCAATGTACTATGGATGGCTTCACTGGAGTATGTTTAGCTAAATCTCTGTTCAAGTTGTGGAACATACCACGAGAATTCCATCGCTTAAAAAATGTTGGAATATAGGACTATTGTACACTTACAATCTGTTGAGTGACGTTATTAAACAAGGCAAGGCGGTCAGTGTTTCAGGGACTTACTTTTTCTTTTATCTATTATGAAATAGTACTTGTCCCAAAGACAGTATTGAAAGAGTAGCCGTTAGCATTGAACATATCTGGAATCTATGATGTGAGAGATTGGTATCGACATACCAGTGATGGAATGGGTCGATGTATTCAGCAGAATGTAGCACTATGTCATAAAGGGCTTTACAGGAGACACTGGGACAAACATGTTGAGACACTGGAACATTCACACAGCGTAACGAGTAAGAAGGTGGTATGGTACACGCACTGAATGCTGTGGTTGCCATGGGAAGTACTCACTTTTTCAGATCATTCTGCTTCTTTTGGATTTGTGCACGCCACTGGCGCATGGCAGGGAAGAAGCCACTTGTGTATAGTGGAGCAAGTATATCAACTAATAAAACTGCATTTGACTGAGAAATAATTGTATCACAGCTGTCACTGAATTAATTTCATAAAATCATCAACACAACAGGTGCATTAAATTTTATGAATCAGAATTCTCCATTTGCTGATTCATAAGCTGGCCAGTATGCAACAAGAATATGATGCATCCAAGAAAGCATTATGTAATCTTCATGCAGAAAAACTGTAACTAGTATCTTAGAAACAGTTAATGCAACATTAGACAGGGATTAAAGAAGGAACTTGGTACACACAAATATTCTGATTATGACAGGATGGTAAGAATCATGATTTCTTTTCTAAGTTAAAAATCCAAGATATTATTTTACATTAAATTTTAAATTCAAGCCTAGATTATAATAGCAATTTTAAATATTTGGAAATGATTTCTTGAAAATACATAGCAAAATAGTTTGAGGATGGGAGCCTGTCTTAAATTGTGATGTCCTGAGATGACATGTGGTAGCCTTGTTGTACCAACATTGGTACCTAGATGTGCATGGCTCTGCTATTCACTAAAACCTCCAGATAATTCTCACTCCCCAATTACTCACCTGAGAAACTATGGACTGAATATTTTGGATATGGGATTCACAGAGGTCTGTTTCTTATAGGTGGGAGATCAGTGTAAAACTGTATATGCTCTACTATATAAATTAAGAATGGAGAACTTGAAGCAAATATGAAGCAAATTTCATTTCAATTACTATTATGTGTCACTGGGAAGAAGAATCTCTTCTTTGTGAATTAAAATAATCCCTGAGAATCTAAAATTTATCCCAAAGTCCTGGGGATCTTTAATAACTTTAAAAATTATTCAATTTCAATGTTCTATGTTATAATTTTTGTTACTTACAACATAGTACTTAGAATAAAATAAAACCACACATGTTGGCAGCAGCTGGAGATAAGATCTGCTGATATTCTAAAAATAAGTTGCTATAATTTAGCTTTTGATATAAATGCCTTTCATGCGGACTGTAAATGGACATTTTTCTAATTCTAGGCATGTGCATATAATCGGAACTGAATCACTGCATTTACTATTGCATTATGGAAAAAATGAAATGTTTAAAATAACAATCTAATCTAAATTATAAGATAAATGCAAGTAAAAATATTTTTCATTTAAGAATTTAAAACTGGTAGTTCCACAGAGTGGTGATGAGTATATTATACATATTTATGTAGATTTTACAGGGTGTTTCAAAAGTCCCTGAGCACATACAGGATTCACTGTCTCAGTGTGTTTTTGCATACAAATGCAAACTTTTTTTCTATACTTGTTATAATAAATGCTGAAAATGGCCCTCATGTGCTTATAATAGAGAAGGTATTTTTTGTTGTCAAGATCACTAAGTATAAGAAGGGTCACAAATGCCATTTTCTGCATGGGGACTCAGGGACTTTCGGCTCATTCCTGTAAATTAGGTATCCACATAAATATGTATAGACAAATATGTAGTATGCATAGTCACAACATAAATATATTTAACATTTAAGAAAAATTTAGGTATTCTACTGGTAAACTGACATATGTATACAATATAACTGTATTTATTCAAAGGAATTTGATTTTTTTTTTGGTTGTTCAAATGTACTGTTATCTTAATTATTTCTTTCCCAAAGTGATTCACAAGACTCCTTTTAAAGAAGCAACATGTTTTACTTGCATATCCATTTTTAAAACTAAAGTTGAGTAATGAAAATTAATATCCATGAATAAATAACTAAATTTTTAAAGCAATTTTGATTTTCATTTATATTGTACAGTTGTTTCATTGAAACTGTCCTTTTAAAAAATTGGTTCAAGAGTTAATTTTTTTTTTCTTTTCTCTAGTTAGTGATCACATTGTCTGATATATTGACATATGTCAGCTTCCTACAGGAGCCCTAAGGGTCTGCCCACCTGTGATGTCATAGTAAGGAGGGGCTTTTCTTCAGCAGACTCCTCCCTCGGTATCTCCTTCATCACCATGGCAACAGCCTTATCTGCCGCCCTAGAGCCTTTTCCCTACAACAGTGAAATCAACAATGACTTGTGTCAGGAGAAATCTTTAACTTATTATTTATTACAAGATATTCTAATGTTTAAAGAGCAATCCAACATAAATTGAAGAGATAGGCTGCTGCCAGTGCATCTTGAAGCTTTTGGCTGAGGAGAAAACACACAAAATCTGAAAAAAGATGGTTTGTGAACTTTTAGTTAGCTACTTTTTCACCTTTACAACTGGCATATTATATTTAATTTTAACATAGTATTTTATATGTATAATATATGAAAGGCAATTAACATGATATGAGGTATTTTTATAATATCAATTTTAAAACACTATGGCTTGCCTATTATGTTCATTTAAAATTATTACTCTATGACCCTTGAATATTTTGAGTGATAGGAATTTGGGATAGGAATTAGGATGAGGATCTGATTCTCACAGAGGAATTTTGCTAATTGGTCTTTGGAGTCTGTTTTTTTTTTTAGTGAATTGGGCATAAAAAGAGTAGACAAAAATCTCTAAAACTTTCAGTGACTTGACATACCATAAATTCACCCATCTTGTTTGGTGGAAATAGTATGAACTTGGTGAAAAAAATATATATTTTTTTCTTTTTGCAATTTTCAATGTTTTTGAGGTGGAGGAATTTTAGAAATATCTTTCATTTGGAGAACCCTATAAATTCAGAAGGAATAGATGATTAAAGCACTAATCTATCTACATCTACCTGTATCTGTCTATTATTTTCTACTTATCTCATGTATGTGGTAGGGTATGCTGGCTCTTGCTGTCTTGAATTTACCAGATTATGAAATTTTTGAGAGTAAATGTGACATAATGGAAACAAAACAGAACACCTTCTTGACCCCATTAGAAACATCTCATACTATGTAAAAATTAAATAATTTTTAAATATTTTGAAAACAAAAAAACTTGCATTTTCTCAGGTCACACTGGGCAAAGCCTTACTAGAGAAACTCATTTAAGAACACATAGGTACAGCTGTATTGTAAATCTACTTAAAAAATACAAATGTAACATACAGAGATACCATAGGCAAAGAAATAAAAACAAACAGATGGTGATGTGTCATCTGGAAAGAGAATTAAGAACAGGGGTCAATATTAACTCCAGAGCCTGATAAACCTGGTTAGTTTCTATGCAATGAAAAAGAGTAGAATGACATAATTATCTTGAGCTTCCCAAGGGCTTTAAGTACTTGGAAGGAAGGTACATTCTGGGGAGCACAGCAGTATCCCTTTTTTCAGGCATTGACTTTCTAACTTTCTAAACTGTAGCCGGGAGCAGCTTTTATTATGAGAACAAAGAGAATTTATCTTTTTTTGCAGTTAATAGACCTCAAATGTATGCATTTGTTTACAATGCTATAAGTTTGTTTCTTTGCTTTATTTTGACTTTAGCATTACTGAATGATAAGATAGAATATCAAATGCTAGAGATTTTATTTAGCAGATACATCAGTAGCAATTTTCATATGTGTTCTGAAAATGTTATATGGCTAACAATCCTTAGAATATCTGATTTCCGGGAAAATAAAGAGAATCATAGTGATTTATTGTATAGCAAATTAAGGTGCATACTGATTGTAGGTTTCTTCTTTAATGAGGCAATGTGAACTTTCTAAAATAGAGGTGTAAACAATTCTGGGAAAAGATTTATTATGGTACTATGAATGTTAAAACATTTTTTTTCAAATATAAAAATTATCTGGTTAAAACATTATAACCTATAAGATTAGTATACCTTTATAAGCTACACTCATTTTACACACTAAATGTGGTTTATAACAAATATTTTTTTCAGTTTTTTTTCAAAAAAGCAAAATCACATGTGAGGAAGTCTTTCCATGCTCCAAGAAGTTCTCATAATATAGCAATAAAAAAGTGGCATGCTTATATTTATATTTAAATTCCTACTATACTTAAAAGAACAAATCTAATATTATAAGATATAATTCTAAGAAATTATAATTCAGACTCTTTTCTTGGGCTAAGAAAAAAATGTCAATTGATAAGCATCTCAAAAAATTTCAATTTTTCAATACACCATTTATTTGAAATGCTACCAATCCATACACTATATAGAGATACTTTTTTTACATATGCAACTATAATAGCTAAAATTAGCAACGGACATGCCATTTCACTAAAACAAAAACAAAAACAAAAACAAAACAAAAATTAGTCCTTTCATGCTGAACTCTAGAACAAAGCAGTGGTCAGCTAGAAAGGATGTATAATAAACACATGCGGTGCTTTTTATTCTTGCAGAAAAAACCCACCAAAGCCAGGGTCAGGTCACTTTTTTGAAGACAGTGCCACTTTTTCTTCAAGGTTACACCTACTACCTGAAAAGAGTCAGGACACCCATGTTAGTGCCTGCTAGCAACTTTTTCTGTACAGCCTTTTGGCTTTTGAGATACTATCCCACGAGCCTCACTAGTGTGATACAGCCTTGAGATCAGAAAGGGAAGGTCCGCCACAATGACATCTCCATGGCTCCAGATACAGTGTCTAAGGCACTGCCAACCCAAGGGAAGACACTCACATATCAAGAAGATCTCTCCTGCATCCTAGCACCATCTCCACCTGCTATTGTAACATCAAGTTGTGGTTATTTTTGATTTCTCCATTTATCTTGTGGGATAATACTTCTAGAATTCAGAATGTGGCTGATAATTGATTCAGCAATTCATGAAACTAGTATAATTTGCTTATCAGCAACTCTGCAGGACTGAGTCTGTCATTTTTTTTCTAATATGACCATACCATTTTTTTTCTTTTTTGAAGTCAGTGGCTTAAAACATTAAAAGAAGTATATATACATAATTATTCAGTCTTCAAACCCAATTTTCTAAATAAAGCTGTATGAAAGGTTCAATATTGATCTATTATACACTGGAAACACACCCAATCCATATAAGGGGCTTATATACTTATATAGGATTGTATGCCTCTAGATCATTCTTGGAAAGAACAGAAAAGAATCGTGAAACTTCAGAAGTTGTTTACCACTTGGTGACATCCTCTAGTGATTATTTCAGCCTACTTCTTTTCTAATAGCCTGTGAAAATCACGTCTTTCCACTTTTGTGTTGAATTTCTTGAGATATTTTTGACTGTTTAGAAAACAATATTAGCATAAGGGGAGACTTGTTTTTCATGATGCTTAGCTGTTGAAAATTTTTTGCTATTTATCTGTTTCTCTTAGCATTTGTTTCTTCACCAATGAATCATAAAATGATAGCCTTTCTAATGAATAACTATTAAGAATAGTCTTGTTTTTTTTCCTATTATAAAAACAGGCAAAAATGAATGCAACGAAGGGAATATAGCAAGTGATATTATTTATTAAAAAATCCAAATTTTGACCCACTAGTTTTCTTTTTGTTAATGTGCAACAGAAGATACAGATTACAACATATTGGATGTCATAGGATCTGTTCAGGCTGCATACCAGGCTGTGGAGCCACCAGATGTCTTTAGATGAACTGGTGTTGGCTGCAGTCCTGTCTCACAGAGAAGGGAATTAAACTATTTTGAGATGCTACCATGTGCTGGGCATTCTGTTAGACGTCTGACGTAATTTCACTTGTTTGATCTCGTGGTAATTCTGAGGGTAGATAGTATCCTTCCACAGATAGCTGAGGACATTGAAGCTCAATGCTTGTGTGGTTTGGCTAAGGCTCCCCCCAAAAATCTGTGATGGAGGCAGGAGGAGATTCCAGACTGGCCTCCTAGGCCTGCCTGCTTCCTTCTCTACCACATGGGTGCTATTTGTTCATCTGATTGAAGGAGGCTGGAGCGCTCTCCCTCATGTTCTCCACTGACTCTCATGAATATTATTGTTTTTGATATTGAAGTACAGGTGGCACTCATTTCTCAGTATAATCACTTACACTGGCTATGGCTATAAGAAAAAAATATTTTTTTATGATGATGGGGATTTGAACTCAGGGCCCCCCAGAACACTAGGTGAGTGCTCTACCAATGAGTTATAGCTCCAGCATCCTCAGATGATGATCAATATTGAGATGTGTTTTCCTCCTCTATTCTGGAAGAATCAACCATCCACGATTTTACTCAGGATCACATTCCTAACAAAATGCTTCTGTTTCATTTTCTCTTCATAGAAAATGAATCTAAGCATTTCATGTATTCAGACTTTTTATTTTATGGACCTTAACAGGCTTAATAAGCTCTAGCTTCATCTAATTCTTGCTAAACAGGAACTAAATGCCATTATGCCATCTTTACCAAGATTGTTTGAGTTCTATTTTGGGTGCGTGAAATACTTAAAGAATGCAATTCCACAGTTACAGTTCATTTGTAATCAATTTCCTAGTTGCCAATTCTATTATCACTACCATGGAGTTTGTAATTTAAAAATTATGTATATTATTTATCAACAACAATCTAGACTCTATTTATTGGAGATATTAAGTAAAAGAAATGAAAAACATATTAAGATAGGGAGAAAGTAAATGACTATAATATTTTTTTAAAAAACCTTGCTATAAATTCTTTTTTAAAATTTTTTATTAGTTTTTAAAATTTTTTTTAAATGACTATAATATTAAATAAGTTTGCTTACCTAAAACTAGTATGTGGATTTTAAAAATAGTCTTTTTTTTGTTCTGATTATAATAATCAAAAACAAGAACATATTGTTGCCAAAAATTGAGTAAAAATAGAAATAGGAAAAATAAAAATAGTATCTCTGATTTTTTCATGCATTTTTCCAAAATTTTATATTTTATTTTTACAATGTTGGAAATCAAATAGTATTTTTAGGATGAATGTTTTAAGGATAGACATATTACCTTCAAGCTTATAAGTATAAATCTATTGCATATATTTCTTCATATACATATAATACATGTAAATGAATAAAAAATATATCTACATAATTTTAGAAACACTTTGAAGTGAAATATTCAGTTTCACATATGCTAAAAATTATAGGTCTCACAAATCAGCACCCTGAACTTAAGC